CTAACAAAGATTTAGACATCAAATTTATTTAAAATGAGACACATTTAAGAAACTTGAAAACTTGAATATTCAAGCATTAAAGATTTGCAAGTTTATGATAATACGAAAAGCCAATGTATTATATATATTTTTAATTAACAACATCCTACAATGCCGCGATACCGACATCGAGACACCATGACGAATTAAGTAAATATCGGATAAACTGTCTTGACAAGAAGGCATTCTTGTGAAGAGAGTGATACTGTGACTTAGTTGTAGTTGTAGTAGTTGTGCTTGAAGGGTGCCACCTGCACGGGTAATGAAATTGTTAGTGTCTTAAATAAAGTAGCTTCAACTAATTGACTCGTTGTTCTTGCACCTGTGATTAACAGATTTCTGCCATCCGAGCGATGACGCTGTTATCGAAAGTAGAGTAATTGCGCTTAAGTATATCCAGTATGTAAGTTATAATTGCTGTACGTGTATTGCAGGGACGAGTGTGTTTCCTGTAACGGTGTTTTCAGCTCGTGTCGCTGTTCAATGTAAAAAATGATTAGCAGAATATATTATGTAAGTGTATCACCTCTCCATAGAGGGATATTCGATACATCATAATGGCGGCCTCATCAAAAAATGCATTATTGTATACATTTTATTTAATTAAATAATATTCTTCCTCGCTTATTTGTGATTTTATTTATATCTTTGCGTTTCCTTTCGGCTGCATTTTGTATATCAATATAAAATTTATGCGAATAAAGCAAATGAAACAAAAAGAAGGTTAATAAATAAACTAAGAGATAAAGTTAGTAAAAATGAAATATTAAATTTAGTTAAAACAATAATGATATGATGCTCTATTGATTTTATTTCATTTTTTAAAGCATTCTTATTTTGTTACTTATTTTATTACACATTTCATTTTAAATTTCATTTTAAATTTATCCTTTTTGCCATTAAAATATTCAAAGATAAGATATTAAAATATTAATTTTTGGGATAAATTTTTTGAGCTCCAAGAACCTGGGAATCTTTTCCCTAGAATGTTAGAAGGACGCCTTCCGAGAGTCTTCAAAATTAAGCTCTTATCTTAAGCTCTAACGTGTCATGGTCCAAAAATTTGAATTACAACGCGTTCATTGCAGGAGCCCTATCGCGTATAATTGGTTCGTTACATTATCACGAGCTATTTCGGGCACGCGTACGTGCTCTGTGTAAACTCCGTGTACTAAAACGATTGTGAATTCGCTGAGATTAGAATCATTACAATACACGAGGGCGATACAACAGCGCCTGGTAGGATAGAATCTTTATGATCGTCATAAAACTCGTTCTCTTTCTCATTTCTGCCCGCTTCCCAGCATCACGAGTACAAACACGCCGTCGTTTATTTCGATACGAAGACATCGATGCTTTCGTCCGTGATACAAATTGCGAATGCTTCCTCACGCGTCTTTAACCGGTTAATATGGTGGCGATCGCTCAATAACGTTTTCTAGCAAATATCCTCCAGAACTGTCATAACCGTTCGTACCGTTATAAACTGTTCTGAACAATAATTTCGCTTGCCAGCTCAATGTTTCGAAGAAGTTGAAGAGGGACAAGAAATTGTATGTCTTTATTTCTATCCTGAAGGACCTCACTTTAATTATATTAAAACTAGTTAATTTTCATCATTAATACAATACAAATTGAGTTCCAATAAAATAAGTTACATTTTAACATATAATGCAGCTTATAATATGAATAAAAAAATGCAAGGCTCAATAATTTTTGAGCTTCGTGCATCAAAGCTATTTTTATCTTTTGTTCGTCATTATAAACTATATTATCTATATGTAAAACTAACTCATTTTATTGGAATTCAATTTACTATAATTAGTAGATCCATCCCTAATTATATAGAAAATAGATTCTGATAGAAACGAGTTAATTTTCACATGTAATAATGTATTATAGCTTGCATAATGTGGTGAATAAATGTCAAATACAAGGCTCGATAACAGTTTTTGAGCTACGGTATATCAAAGGAATATAAAATTAATAAATAGTAAAACCCAAATCAATACACAAATTATCGTTGAAACTTATCGTCGGAAAATTATAATATTTATTAATCACAGATTAATAAATATTATTTAGTACATTTAGCTTACCTTAGCTTGTTCAATGTATTGACCTGGATTTTATTATTTATTAATTTGTTGTAAGTTATACGAGCGAAAAGAATTGATATTATATTGTAATAAAAGTATAAAATTTATGTTCACAAAGCACTTTTGATGCATGATAATCAAAAATTATCTATTACTAAGCTTTGTGCCTATAACTTTTGTTCATCACATTATAAATCACATTATTATACGTAAAAATTAACTAACTTTTTTAATATGATTAGTGCGAGATCCTCAAAACATTCATTAACTAAAATGATTAAATAAATTATATTTGTCCGTCCAAAGAATCTTGAGAATCTCGATAGCCTTATTTAAAAAGAGTGAAATACATGAAGGGACTCTGCGAGAGTCGCAAACCACAGGGCGAAAATGCGCTTTCTTAGTGACACGCAATTGCCTCATTCAAGTCGACCCTCGCTCGTGGTTAAATAACACGTAATGCTATGTCGGATGTACATGTGCGTACTCGATGGTACTTGACTACGCAAGTGATTACGACGGAAGTGATTACCGCGAGGGGCAACGGAGACGATGCGTTATCATCCCTACGGTCCACAATACAATGCTGAGCGAGACGCGGATCCTTTGAGGTCGGCGTCACAGGTTCCACGAAACACGTCACGTCGGGATATACGTATCGAGACTGCGAATACTAATGTCCCTCTAATGCATTGCGCGGTCTGAATTCGTAATAGACGCCAGGCGTCGCGTCGCGTCGCCTCGCGTCGCCTCGACGAGATGAAGCACCCGCGCAGAAATTTCCACGGATTCAAGATGTGCGTGTGCGTGCGTGTGCGTGTGTGTGTGTGTGTGTGTGTGTATGTGCTTTCGTCTCAGTACCGCGATTTATCGCGAATATGTGTGCACATCGCACGGCGTGCACTGCGAGATCTGCATTCTCGCGCAGTAACAGCGTCGCGCTCTTTGTTTCTGAGATATGCGCATGGATTATTATCTCGGCTCTTCGCTGCTTCCACGGAATATCTAAAGAGACATCTAAAGCAGCACGCAAAAAAAAAATATATATATATGTATATATAAACGCTTTCTTCCGTTCGTCCACCTTGGAATCGCGCGCGCAAAATATAAACATCGCTTTGGGTGAACGATCTCTGCTTGCCGAAAATTGGAACGTCGCCCTTGTATCAACATTTAATCGTGCGCCTTATGTTATCTCACGGACTCCGAAGTTTGAACGTTGTGTAACTTGGCACTACGGAGTTTCGAGTTGGATATATTTCTGAAATAACAGATCCGCCGTGATGTTACGCGTTTGGAATTTCTCGTGTTTCATCACGCTTTATGTCTCTCATTATTATCGCGATGTTTTCTCTGCGCACGTCGCGTTTAAAGGACGACGCGGAAAGAAAAAGACTCCACCCTTCGTCGACGAAATCGAGACGGAGAATCAACTCGCCGACTGTGAAAGCTCTCGTGTGTAGTTGTCAAATGTGGCTCGTGGGGGAAAAAAAAAAAAAACGAATTCGACAGTGACGAACCGCGTCGTCGCGCGTTTACAGCCACCGTGAATGGGACTCCGAGAGGAACGAGTTCGAAACAAAGGCCCGCCTTCAATTCCGCAAAGAGCTCCAGGAGGTAAGGAGGTCTAAACGAAGTTATAAATTTCGACTTTTTCTTCGGCGTTCGCAGCTCGTATAAACCGTGGTCACAATGCTTTTACGAGTAGACGACTTTCCAGGTCAATTGTCGTCGCTTTTTCCCCGCACGTACGTGTCGTTTGCATTAACTGGATTTTGCGGATGATTGAAGACTCACGGAAAGCTCGATGAATTTTAGCGAGGAGATATTTCATGGGCTCAATGTATCATTAGTATTTTTCAGCTTAATATCATCCGATCGGTACATCTGCAGATCTACTAACAATTCTTTTTTAATCACTCGGCGGTTTTATATTCTGATTTTTAACGATTTACAACGACATCTGAATTTTTATTTTTTCATCGAGAAACATAGAAGATAATATCGCGGAAAAATGTCGGTCAAATGTAATACGCTTACGCATTTAAAAAAAAAAAACAAATATGCCGCTGTTCGGAATGCAAATGTAGGAGTATTTGCATCGCGAAATATGAAGATAGTATTGCTTTTTTTTTTCTAAATGCAAATCTGTTTACATCTGCATCGTAAAATGCTAAAATAATGTTCCTTATACACGTCGAAATTATGTTTGAATTTATATTTAATGCATAAGACAAAATTATTAATTTTGTTATAGATGAGGATTAATATGTACATATTATTATTTGACCAAATGCGATGTAAATCGTTTTGTTTAAAACATCGGAAAAATAATGATATCTAACTAATGGTTCTCTAAAATCATACATATGTATATATTAAAATTCTCTAATTGTTCTTTGTAGTATTTAACAATTCATTTTGACAAAATGCAGCCGTGTTTCAACGTAAATTACTTTAATGAATATGGGGAAAATGATGATGAGGCCGCGCGATCCCAACATGATGCGACATCATGACGCACCGTGCACATTATAATTCATTACATTTGCGCTGTCTATTAAACTGACCAACATTATTTTCATTATTCTCAACTTCTAATAATTGAGCGTCAAACGATATTATCGATTAACGCGCTAATTGCCGCAGAATTCATTTTATCGCAAAATGATTCCATAAATAAATTGATTGAATTAATGTAATATCTCTGATCAAAGAATTAATAATTTCAGCATTTGTAATTCGACCGCCAGAGCGTTTCAGAAATTCACATGATAACCGTGGCGGTCGAATGTAAACATCAACAGTAACTTGGTACGGATGCTCATGGATCAAAGTGAGGACAGATGGTTGTGCACTGACCTCTAGGAAACCTCGCACGGTGTTGTCGACGACCATGAGCGGTCGTGCTATCAGATGAACGACGCCGTTGCGCACCGGAATGTTCCCCTTCACTATTTCCGCCAGCACCACTCCGTCCGTGTGAGTCGCATCGCCTACCAGTGTGTTCGATTGAACGTAGACTGAAAATTGGACTATCAATTAGTCATCAAAATACAATATGCAGGGATCTATCACTGACGCTGTTCAACACAGACAAGTCCCTTTTAACTGAACATGAATGCTTTATTATACACAAAGCCTTCTTGCATTAAACGTATAATAACGCGTAATAATAGCACACAATTGTAACAATCTCTAATGATAGTATTCTTGATTGGATTGTATGTTATCGCCCTATTGAATCGAATTAACGGCTCAAAATCTATTTCTTGAATGATCGAAACGTAGGGTGGACGAGCGATGATCATCACCTTTATTTTGCGACTTCGAAAAGCTGATGACGACTTTCAGATTGTCGGAGAATACGAGGGTTGGATACTGCACATTGTCTGGCGTCGGTGCGGTGAAGAGGACTTCGTAGGGTATCACGTGCCCGTCGATCACCAGCCTATCAATCAATCGTGGCCTCGGCACCGGCTGTAACAGGAAAGCGAAGATCACGAAAACTTCATCAGAATGGAATGAATATAAATTATATAATCATTGTCGGTCATAATTCGAAAAGGAAAACGACATTACTTAATCTTAAATTATTCGCGAATATAATGGATCGGGACATTTTTTTTCAATTACTTTGTGAAAAATTGTTTATAATCAATGTCGCCGCTGACAAGATGCCTTTATGCAAAGGGAATTTTTGCACTAAAGTTCGAAGATTTAGATTGTTGTAAATGGCCAGTAAAACATTAAATTACATAATCTTATTCCTTAAATTTGACTTTTAAAATAAAAAAAAAATCACTCAATTATATTATTATAATTTTAAGTAAACTGAAAAAAATTTACTAAATCTTAATGCATATTTTTTTAAATAGCATTTACTTACAGCAAATAAATATTTACTTAATAAAAAAAATAATAATTGAATTGATAATGCTTTTTTTGTATTAAACAAATATATGTTTACATTTAATAAATATTTACTTAGAATTATTCAAGCAAATATTTATTAAAATTTAATTTTTTTTCAGTGTAAAGAGATATACTAATTTGAATCCGCGAATATACCACTTAAAGAAATTTCGGAGTGAATTCAATTAGGATTAATTAATTGCGTGATTTCGTCACGTCGGACATTTTTGCCTAAAAAAAAAAGCATTTAATTGTTAGAGAACGTAATTTGTAATTTCTACGCGATGTGAAATAAACTTGTATCCCTCCAGAAGAGAAGAGTAGAAGTTTCTATTTCGCGGACTTCTAACACCCTCACGTCGCACCTTCTTGTTATCCGGATATACTCGTCCTTTCATCTGAACGTCTCAGCTTTTCATACAAAAGCTCGGCCGACCGCGTTGTCACGGCAACTCGATTTCTGCGCGGAAGGACCGACTTCGTGAGGAAAGAACGAAAAGTGACGAAGGCGCAGAAGGAGTCTCGATACCAGCCGTGGAGTTCTCGGCGAGACGACGATCTCGTTGAGAGAAGAACTTTTCGAGATCGAGTCGTACACCGTCGTTACACACCCTTTCGCACCCTTCTCGGCGGCCTCGATTTTCTTTACTTCCCCGTCGGTTTTTTATTCCTTTTTTCCTTTCTTCGCTTTTTTTTTTAGATCCGGAGCTCGACGCGTCGTATGTACAGGCGCGAAACTTTCGGTAATTTCTGACGGGATGGCTCGTTTAACTCCGGCTCGTTTTTACGCTCCAAGTTGGATTACGTGAGCGCGAACTATTGTGTGTAGTACGCGAGCTTGGCGTTGAAAATTGGAGAAAAAGCGGAATTCCGCGCCGAAGTGCTGTGATGCGAGCATAATGAAACACCGGAGGAGTCGCGAGTCAGTGTGGGATGCGCACGGATTCGCACAGCGAAATTCATAATTTTTAATTGTCCTTATTTCCGCCAAGAATTAATGGACGTTTCTTGAAACTACGTGAAAAAGGTAGAATGAAAAATTTTAACGTGTGAAATTTGTACTAAGCGCCTTTAGAAAAGCTCTGTTAAAAAGCTTTTACAGCACTTTGATAATAATAAACATTTCACGTTGAAAATTAAGTAACGAAAACGTTATATAATAATTAATAATAATTAGAAAATAAAATGTCTAAACTTCTTACCACTCAGGAAAAAGTCTAGTTTTCAATTAAATGGAATTCTGATAGATTCAACAAAATATAGATACTTATAGAAATCTATATCAAACATTTTAGAGATAATCAGAAATTCAATTGCGATACCATCCTTATAGAAATTTAATACCGACCCATTAATCACTTAGTTTGAGTATTACAAGTACAATTAACAAAAGTTTTATACTAGTACGATAAAAGTACTGTTAAAGTGATTAATTGGACTGCAGTACTACATCGAAAAAAACTAAATTTTTAAAATATTTATTAAAATAGTTTTAAATAGGTAAATATTTACTAAACGTAATTTATTTGCTGAACATATATTTATTTAATGCAAGAACCATTAATTTTATCTATCTTTTTTTTTTTTACTTTGAGTACATATTTATTTACTGGAAATAAATGTACAATTAATACTATTCAAGGAAATGAATATATATTAAGATTTAGTAAATTTTTTTCAATGTAGTATTTTTTTATGAGGGCAAAATTCTAATTAAATGGTATCATAAAAATGCATTTTATTTGTACTTTTTGTTGGTACAACATATACTTTTCCCACTGTACGAGCCCTTCTGTAACTTTCATGACATAATTCGATACAAAGTAAATACGTGTTTCCAATAAAAATCCATTCAAAAGAAATCTATTCGCACCGATCACGTAACTGAATTTCATTAATCGCCGGTCAGTTCGCGTCGAGAATCACACCAGTATAGTGTGTCCTCGTGTTGCGATCGCTTCGCGATTTTTGCGGCTTTTCCGGACGAATTTCGCGTACAGAGACGAGAATCAAAGTGGTGAATCTGGCGACGAGCAATCATGTAGGTATATCAATCTGCTCGACCGCGATCAACGCGACTCTCGGTATTCGTAACGAGTTGCCATCGGATCGAGTTGCCATCGGCTCACGTTGCCATCAGCTCGACTGTTTTTCCAGGCCATTGGAGTGATCCAATCTTTTACTCGCATTTCGAGATACCCACTCGTCGCGAATGCCATCTGCGAGTGGCATCCATGAGGAGAATCGAAGAGAATCACTAGGAACATCGCGAAGAAAACAAATTGAAGAATCGTCGTAACGAAACAATTGGGACCAAAGAATATAGAATGAACTGCATCATCCGTATCAAATATGGTCAACGAAAATGAAAGAGAAAGAGCGTGAAGAAGGCCACTCCCTCTCATTCTCTTTTCCGAACTACGTTCGTATCGTTGAATAGAAAGAGATAAGATTGGCCATCTTCACATCCTTTCTCATCATTTTTGTCGACCAGTTTGACACATGGATGGCGCAGTCCATTCTATGTGTCTTTAATTGGGAAAGTAATCTCGCACCGAAATGAAATTGAATTGATGACTTCAGTGGAACTTAGACTAGTGATGTATATTATGATGATTATCTATCAACGGCACATCATATCGTGGAAAGTCACGTCAATCTAGCATTTAGTCGCGCGAATCAATTGTGCCAAAAAATCGGACGAGTGAACTGGCCGGATCTTTCGCAGGAAGAAACCGTATACGAATACGTGCGTTATCGCGAGTTGTTGATAGTAAACGAATCCATGGGTGACACTAATGTTGGATAATCTTTCCTCGCCGTTGCTGTCGGGAGTGAAGTCAGGATCTTTCGGTGGGTGGATTAATCCAGATTAATCGATCGTTCGATCGCGATCGGACGCAATCTTTCAAAGAAAATAATCGTTCGCGAGTATGTTGGATATAAGTATAAGTAAAAAGTGCATCATGGATTACGGAGCAATGCCAATAATATCGACGAATCGGGGCGGTGAATCCTAAGCTTTAATTTTTTTTCCAAATCTTCCGTAAATACAACGCAAAATCACCTTTATAAAATCTATACAATTGTCGATGATGTTGAGTCCTAAGCTTTAATTTCTGCGTTGTTAGTCTCAAGATTTTCGTACAACGCAATGCTTATTATAAAGTTCATTCTACAATTAATTGCGTAAATGTAGAATAATTATAAGTGGTTGTAATTGTAAGAAGTGACAATCAAATATGAAGGGAATATTTAACTAGTTGGGCCATAAGAAATTGATCAATCACAGTTAATTGTGCTTCTCATATTCGAAACGGTCAATTTCTTATTGCTTAAGGCTTAAAGTTTAAGTTTTACGCCTTGAAATCTCATGTAGATATCGCTTTATGCAATTGTAGAACGGGCTTAGGTCTGATTCACGCTTACAACGTTCATAAGCATCGATTGTTCTTGTTTTTAATAAACAAAAATAATAATATTCTAAAAGCATTGCAAGCGTAAATCGAGTCGCAATCTATGAATGGCGTGAATAAAAAGAGAAGATAATAAATAAATAGATAAAGACAGAGAAGATAATAGACAAGTAGATTAAAAAAAACAGAAAAACTTTAAATTGCTTAGAACTGTCAAAAGAAAGTTCGATGCAATAGATATTTTTCGAAATTCCTGTCTAGTCAACACAAACTAAAAAGTACACAACTAAACTTACACAACTAAAAATAACATAATATCAATCAATATTATATGTAAATATTATGTGTAATTTTGCACTCAATAATATAAATGTAATATAATACATGATATTAACAGTTACATTATTAAACGTAAAATTATATTATTGATATTATTTTGAATTTAGTTAACGTCCACTAGTATCGTCTGTATGTAAAAATCCAAGAAAACTCGTTGTTCTTGTAATTTCTACAAAACACGTACAGTAATTGTGTGCGCATTAATTGCTCTTTTATCATTTTACATCAATTTTTACGTAACCCACCTGTAAAGGACACTACCACGCTCGGTACAGTGTTTCTTCGACGTTAAAATAGATTTGCACACAATGTCGGAATGTCGCGTTTGTAATCCGACGTTTGAAACGTCTAAATGCCACGCGTACGTATCCGTACGGAATAATTTACATCCGCTGGTAAAACGTCATCCCATGTAACGCCGCTGCAACACGGTGTTCCGTGCGCGGAACATTTCGAACGAGCGCGTAAATTTTGCGATATCTAGGGCCGTGCTATCGCCATGCGATGTCACGCAATAATCATTTCTTTTCAACGTTGCAAACCTGGAAAATTCCTTTTAATTCAAAAGATTTCCTCATATTTAAAAATTTAAAAGAATAACGCGCATTAATATTACATTAAATAAATTCTGAATTTAACAAATCCTTTAAATAATGTCTATTCCCACCAATGTAGATTAACTTTAATCTCGGTTTAACTTACTTTTTATCTTGTTCTAAGAATTAGAAAAAATAAAGAGTAAGTTAAGTCGAGAGTAAAGTTGAATTTACATTAGTAGATTGAAAAAAAAGTTTTTTCTTTGGTAATAATTATCAAATATTGAATGAAATAATTTCAGTCAAATATTCGGTTAATATAACTAACAATAATTTTATACTGAGCAAAATTTTTGATTGAAAATGGACGAATCAATAGATTCTGATATCATATCAATCAAAATTCTAATTGAGATAACCAGACGTCCAATTATGATGACCGGAGTTCTGATTGATATGATCATGATGAGTCCACAGGCTCATTTTCAATCAGAAATTTTTCTCAATATACTTTTTTAAACATTTAGTAAATATTATTAAATATAATAATATAATCGCGATTATTTAATAACAATTACTATATTTAGAAAAGTTAAATTAATAAATTATTTCTTATTATTATACATTAAGGAGCTATTTCACTCTGAAACTTTCAAAAAATTGAAAAAAAATTTTTTTTGTTTAAATAATTCGATAGTTTAGGGTCTTAAAAATATAAAATTTTTTATTCGAAAGTGAAATTCCCAATATAATCGAAAATACAGTTGATTATATCAAGCGATGCACAGCAATGCTGTACCTCCGCCACCGTTAAACTGTTCCATTTATGAATAGTTTCGTCATTATTTGACATTATACATAGTTACATATCTGTACTGTAGATGACATCGACACACAATTAATATAGATTATACTGGGTTCGGTCAGAAATCAATGCTTAAAATACAACGAAAAGGGATTGTTATTGAAACTTTAATCACGTTTTTTCTCAGAATGGTGTTTTAAAAAACGGTGGACACTAGAATTACCATAAAATTAATCCAAATGCTTTGAAATTTGGTTCAGTTATTGTCAATTGAATTATCTAAAGAAATGCTGTGATTTTTGTGATAACTTGTAATATTTTTTTGTTATCCATATTTTTGTATCGAATTTTTATGTGAAAATTGTTTTCACGCGTGCATTATTTTCACATTTTTCAATATTTTTTTCAGGTATTTCTCTTAGCGAAACACAGATTTAACACAGATTAAAAATAATTTTTTAATTTTTGGCTACAGCATATCTTAGACCTGCTGTCACGGATGTCTTCATCACATGCAGACTTCCAAAAAACGTGCTGCAGCGCCATCGTTTTGTTTTTTAAAATTATAATTTTTATACATTTTGTACATCAAAATACAAGTAACAAATAGATGAAGATTTTTTTGTATCACGTATAATTGTTCAATAATCACTTTCCAAAGGTAAGGTATAATTTTGAGACCTCTAATGGAATAATCCCTTAATTAATAAAAATATTTGATTGTAATTATTTAACTTTCAATAGCTATTATCAAACTTTTTCTAGATGGATTATAAAAATGAACATTAAATGCTTTCTTTATGTCACTTCCTAAATAAGTCTTGAGTTATCAGGCTTTTTTGTCTGACATAAATTGTAGATTTTATAAACATATTTCTCGATTGATTTATTTAACTTTGAACGAAATGCAACGAATGCGGTTGTCTTCGAATTTTTTAAAAGAAAATCAATCGCGACGAGACATATTAAAATCATCCCCCTCGGATGATCAATTCGCGAAGGTCGCTAAAGCCGCTTACCTTGAAACCCTCGTCAACGGGAATGAAGAAAGTAAAACGACCTTCAGCCTTGTAGATAGATTCCTTCTTCTCGATGACGATCTGCTGTCGGAAGGTACTAGAAAGAAAAAGAAGGGTTAATTACGAAGGTAGTGTACGAGACGCGGCGACGTTAATAAGACAAACGAGAAAAGTTCGTGCATTTATTTACGTTTAAATGCGCCAAGTTTTTATATTTATATTTAAATTAGAAAGACTGTGTTTTAATTGATGGGTCGACGTAATAATACTTTAAAATTGTCCATGAAACCGTTCGAGAGGATAAAAGCAATCAATATAAGATAATTAAATCAGTATGAGGCCATGCATATTTTATAATATTATATATTGGCTTTGTTCAATAAAGAAAAAACAATTTTGCAACTACTGTGAAATTCTTTAATATGATTGGTTTAGTGAGAAAGTAGGAAAAGACTTAATATAAATATTTAGATTTAGCAAGAAATCAGGAAAAGATTTAAAATTATATTAAATAATTTCACAACATATACCAAGTTGCTTTATCTGCTGAACGCAACTGTCATCATCGACGTATAGAATTATATTAATTTATAAAATGTAGTTTAATCACATCGCGATAATTAAACGCGCGTCTGTGGTAGAATGAAAAGTACTTTTTAAAGCAATTTCCTTATAGAGAAGAATTCTTGAAATTCTCGAAAATTGAAGGATTTAGCAATAACTATCTAAAGATCTAAGAATACAAGGATATCGTTTAAAAAGTAACATTTCAAGAGCGCGATATACGCGTAAAAGAAGATTATCGTTCCAAGATTCGAGAGCGCGAAAAGCTCTCCTTTCTTCTTTTTCCAAGCGCAATAAATGTCCTCGTTACTCTTTTATATCTGCCGCCAGACACTCTTACTACTGAAAACGATCGCCGTGTAAATAGCGAGTTTCTCGAATTCCGGCATTGATTTACTGAAAACAGTCTACTTACCGTACGCGATGGTCGCCCAAATTGAGATTTTCGCTCTGGTTCAGAAATTGAAAAGCGTTTGGATTGTAGACCGGTGATTCCACCGAGTTGGATCGGACAGGCTCCAGCACTTCGTTTATGATGTGCAAGACCTGAAGTCAAAGAAAGATTGTTTGATTGTTATTAAAGAATGTTATCAGTTCGAAATTAATATTAAAATAATTTATAGCCATAATGACAGGCAGAAATAATGATAAAGAAATTCATATTGAAAAAAATGAACGAAGAAGGATTTCGAAGAGGTATCATAAGACTGTGTTTAGCAAAGATTTTCTGGAGAAATTACGTAATTGGCAAGTGTAGGGATGTTGAACCAAGCATCCCCGGGATTAAGGTTTAGAGTCCCTAATTCTGACTTGCAAGGACCAAGTTAATCTCGCCAAGTTCGAACGGATCCATGAATCCAGTTGCGGCGGAGAAGATGAAGTGAGACAAACCGACGTCAAGCTCGTGACGCGAACTTGGCGGGAACGTGGAACACGAAGAGAGACACGAAGATAAACCTCGCAAGTCTGAAATGGAGGAAGCGGAAGCAGCGAATAAACGCGGAGCTAGAGAGAGAGACTGTGAGAGAAACTATAACGAGAGAGAGAGAGAGAGAGAGAGAGAGAAAGATAGAGAGAGAGACAGTGAGGTGCACGTCGCAAGTATTTATCCTGTGGCGACGAACGTCGGCTATATCGGATCTGTCAGAAGCAACTGACGCTGCGCTTTAATAGCAAATATGAAGGAGAGAAAAACATATTTATTCACGTGTCTAGATAATACACTATGAAATTCTCTTCAACAAAAGATAGGTTTCTTTTTAAAAATAATATTTCGAAATAACGTTTCTTCAGTTTTACTTGACACAATAAATTGCACATTCGGCTAGAAACTTTCATAGGGAAGATCATGTAGTCTATATTATAAATTTGAAGCTCTCTAGAGTTGGATTTATTGAATTTACTCAATTAAATCTCTTTGTCAAAAATGTCAAACGATCAGTATCAGTGTTCTCGTCCTGATAAAATAAATGGTAAGATTCATGAAACAGAGATAATCCGCCTTTGAAGAAAAAACTCGTGAAAGCCTCAAAAGTATTGTCAAATAATTAAATTTTCTTCACCTGCAAAAATTTGAATTATTCTTATTAAAATATACGTAATATTCATCGGTTTTTATACGAAATTATATCACTTCGGTTTATTAAAATTCGGTTTATTAATGCCTTAATTAGTTCTTTCAATTTAATTTACTAAAATTATTTTTAATTTTATTCCGAAACTCTAGAACTCTTCCAGTGTATTCAGAACTGTAAGAAAGTTATTTTTTTATTCAAGATGAGTTGCTAACTTTACAGAGATTTTTAACTAACATAAATTAAATAGAGATCTTACAGACTCAGCATCAGTAACTTACAGATTTTGACGTCAGCTTCGGAGAATTAAGTATAGAAAATATACGAGATCTGCTGCCGAAGAAAGAAAGATAATGCAATAGATTTCTTTTACAAACTCCTTTTCTCTTTCTTTGTCTATTACGTACATGCTATTTCACGAAAAAGTCACTGGAAAGTGATAAGATGTAGAAACTGTTACCCCTTTGCACGTCCCCATCGGGAACAAGCACCATCATTTACTATCCTGAAAAGGAAAAAGTTCACGACTAAAACGTTGCCGCTGCTATTTATTCGCTCTCACCCGCGATCGTCCTGACTTCCTTATCTCGCGAGGGATGTCCTGTTCCTATAGCTGTTTGGCTTGCTCTGTCAGGAAAGAAAAGGGGAACGGAAGAGGAATAAGGGCGTTAAGAAAACATAAGCGTCGAAGTTGCAATGAAGAGATTTTGCCTGAAAGAGATTTCGCCTGTATATATATACATAATATTGAGATATTTTCCAACGCTCTGTATTGATAGAAACATCCCCTTACTAGAATTTTATTTAATATTTGTAAACTTAATCTTTTAGCTGTTGGTTCGCTACAACATATATCTTAAATAATATAATTAAATTCAAGACACATCCCAAGAGAAAAGGGACGCGGAAGAGAGAAGAAGAGAGGGAAGCGAAGAAACTAATTGAAACGCTGAGAAACTGTATTAATAAGCGACGATGATAATGGAACTAAGTTAACATAATAATTCATCAGAAACTGTTTTCTCTGTACTACTTCCGTACCTACTGTTGAATTATTACAGCGATCATTCGATATATAGTATCACAGACAAATTATATTTTGGAATTATAAAGAGTATCTTCTACATAAAATTCCATATTTAAAATGTTTGAAGATTTAAAAAACACGCAGATTTGATAGGAGCGTTCATGGAGTAGATAATTAAATATCCGCACGATCCATCGTGGCTGCGCTGACAGTTTTAATACGAAACATCCATCACAATGTCTAAAGATGAAGGGGGGAGGGGGGAGGGGGAAAAAAGAAGATCCGTACGATCGTACGGAAAGTTGGCGCCTATGAGCTCTCTGAGGGAGAGGGAGGGGGAGGGGGGGAGGAAGTGCGGGTAACGTGGAAGATCGTATGATAAGAGGAGCAAAAGAAAGACAACGAAGGAGCGTGTCCCATTTATCCAGCGTAGTCGCAGAAAAAGACAACGACGGCGAGGTGGAGTATGGCGGTTGGCTAGAAATGAATCGTTTTACTCACCGAGAATGAGAGAGGAAAGCGAAGTTTGTGTGTTCCTTACGGGATAAGACGGGCCGAGCTAGGACGCCCATTTATCTTGCTCGCGGTCGCGAGTCATCGGGGGAGAAGAGGTAGGAAGAGATCGAACGTTCGCCAGCGCAGGACGAATCCTTAATTTTTCGCGCGGTTACCTACTCTGTAACGCGTCTGATTTTTTTGTGTAACAGCTAAATGTCAAGAAGACATTAGAAGTCGCAGAGTACATGAGCTTCTTTAAACTTTAACTGAAACCCGAGAAATCATTACAGTCTAATTCAAAAATATGGGTGCGGATTTCATTTAACGTCTAGGTGTTAAATATAATTCTTACTGGGTTGATGTAAACATCAACATAAGATGATTTTATATCAGAAGTTTGAAAATATGTATGAAAAAGTTGAAGTTTGTTGAAATATCTAAAAATCTAGATACAGATCTGAAAATAATGTTGGGTTATCAAAATAATTACGTAGAATGCTTAAACTGATCGGTTGCTAGTAGTGTGTCCGGTGAATACCTAATATTCAAATAAATGAATAAAAAATGAATGAAAATACTTATTTAAATACACTTCTTTTTTATTCGTCAAGAAACGAATAAATACTTTTTCATTCCATTTGAATTTAAATATTTTTTGAATATTTTCGTTTCGTATTCATTTTTACTTTGTATTATCTGCACATTATAGCTTGCAAATCTGCAAGAGAAAACAAAAATCTATAAAAACAATGGCTACGATTACACTTATAGATTAAACAAAGATATTTTTATTGGAAATAAATAATATATCTCGGAATTTAATGTCCACAGACCATAATGAATGACGAGTCCAAGATTTCTTATAACATGTTTATGACATTATTGTGACGTAACCGGAATTATATCGGAATATGTATGGCGTTCCATCGAATAAATATTTATAAATTAAAAATGTATTACTTTCTAAAATAGTTTTAAAAATTTCTAAGTTTCCTTCATAAAATTTGAATATTACAATGACACACAAAAAATAAATAGAATTAATTTTTTTTTATTAAAAATCATCAAAGTGCCGGTTAAGGGTAACGATTGTTTATTGGAGCTTTTTTCAGTTTATATTTTGTTTGAATGAATATGAATACTCGTTAAATATTCATGGTTGTTTTGTAAATATTTTTTGAAAACCCAAATTTTGAATGAATATATGATTACATTTTTTTTTATGTAAAAATTTTGAATAAATACAATTTGAAGCTCAATTTTTTGTATTCATTAGGCACACTAGTTGCTGGAATGTCAAAACTTTATGAAGCTTTTTTTGTTTATATCATGCTTGAGATTTCTAAATAATAATTATTTTAATGGCCCAACAAAATTATTTTCACATATCTAAATTTTTAGATACTTCAGCAAAATCGTTCCTTCATTGAACTGAAACTGTACGTAAATAAAATATTCATTGAATTAATGAAAATTGATCCAATGAATTTTTATAATGATTTAGGTTATAAAATTATTACTAGAAATACTAGAAATACTAGAAAACTGTATAAATGAATTCAGTTATTGTATCAATAAATTAACATTAAATCGGACATTGATTAAAGATCAATTATTGGACCAAAAATGACCGAATGAAATTTTTTTCAATACTCCATGTAATATTAAATTTACACCTATGGTATTAAATCAACATCATGTTAGTAAGAATATAAACATCGTACGATATTAAATTCACACCTACATTTTTTAGAATGTAAGATTTCTGCGATCGCAACAGGATACTGTATCGACCCTAGATAAGATATACTAAGTTCCTGTTCGATCATATTAATTTCGCTCGTGCTTCTTTGTTACTGTCAAATTTCACGCGAGTGGGAAGTACACCGACCCACCAGTCGGCCTACCGCGGAGTATCGTAAAGTTAACGCTAATTAAACTTTACCGATAGTTGCGCCAAGCCATTCGCGACCTCTCTCCGAGCGAGTACCTTCTTAATCAGCCTGGCTACCCATATTCGCGGTTGAGGATGGTACACGCGGGTACGAGTTATCATCTCGATACACAGCAGCTTGCGCTCGTTTATTTCTCCTGGGCGCCCCACCGCGAGATAATCACGATCTGTGCACATGTTAACGATGAATTATCGTATGCGATTACTTTTACGATAAACTCGCGTGGATATGGTTTTCGAAGCGGAGATTAAAATCGATTTGATTCCGATGTGTTTCACTGAAAAATTATTGCCGGGATTTATCATAGTACGATTAATATCGATGCGTTATCATCGTTTAATTATGATTCTACTTGTATTACAATCGTTTGCTGTGCACGGTTATTTGTAATTGTACTGGAACAATTTTCCGAGTCGTTACGCTTAAAATATCTGGCGCGTGTCACATTTTTCGGGAAAAGCCCTTTAATGAAGTACTTAACATTTTGCGTAA